CTCACTCTCTCTCTCACACACACACACACACACACACACACACACACACACACACACACACTCTCTCTCTAACACACTCACACACACTCTCTCACACACACACACACACACACTCCAAAGTCCATCTAAAGAGTATAATAAAATAAGAAATTATCTGCTTTATAATTTACATATTAGATATTTAGGACCAGTGTTGGGGAAATTTACTTTTAAAAGTAATGCATTACAATATTGCCTTACTTCCTAAAAAAAGTAACTAATTACGTTACTTAGTTACTTTTTATTGAAAGAAACTTTTTAAATCTGGGCTGGGCTTGCTTGTTTCCTTTTAATATAAAAAGTTCTATTTTTGGTAAATATAAAAGCCCTTTCACACCAAAAGCCTCAGGCTGAAGGAAATGTAAATCACGTCTGTACAGTATACACAGAAGAAGAAAGTTCAACACTCTTCAGCAATAAAAAAAGAAGAAATGTTAGTTTATCTTGTGTAATTCCTGCTTATTAGTACGGTTGAATTGGATCACCGAAGGTCAGCAGCAAATTGGTTAATAAAATGGGATTAAATACATAAAGGATATTTGTATTATTTAACATATTTAATTATTGCAGCTTTGAGTCATATTCTGAGTTGCGTTTAACTGTTTTTATTCATTTTGAGGAAAACTAAATATGATTTCTTTTGTGAGTGAGTGAGATGAATTAATGCATGTTCACATTTATTCTATATCTCTCGATTTCTCTCAACATGCGGACAGGAGAGCTTTCAATCAATAAATGGGAAAAAAGTAACTTGCGTTACTTATTTGAAAAAACACCTCGGATATTATCTTGTAAATTAAAAAGTAATGCGTTACTTTACTAGTTACTTGAAAAAAGTAATCTGATTACGTAACTCACGTTACTTGTAATGCGTTACCTCCGACACTGGTTATAAGAAACGATCTGCTCCGCTTCTAATGGATTCAGAAAAATCTACATATTTAAAAGAAAAACAGGTTTTGGCAGATATTTGTTGTGGTTTTAAGCATAAACTCAATTCAGTTTCTCAGAAAATTCCTATCTTCATTTGCATCTCCAGTAAAAGTATCTTGATTTAAGGGCGTTTAGATATTTGAACTGGAAAACAAGACAGAAATACTGAGGAAGAGAATCATTTTTTGCATTTAATCTCTAAGACTTTCTGCTCTGATTTAAGACCTTTAAAGGCCTTAAAAAAGTAACTAATTACGTTACTTAGTTACTTTTTATTGAAAGAAACTTTTTAAATCTGGGCTGGGCTTGCTTGTTTCCTTTTAATATAAAAAGTTCTATTTTTGGTAAATATAAAAGCCCTTTCACACCAAAAGCCTCAGGCTGAAGGAAATGTAAATCACGTCTGTACAGTATACACAGAAGAAGAAAGTTCAACACTCTTCAGCAATAAAAAAAGAAGAAATGTTAGTTTATCTTGTGTAATTCCTGCTTATTAGTACGGTTGAATTGGATCACCGAAGGTCAGCAGCAAATTGGTTAATAAAATGGGATTAAATACATAAAGGATATTTGTATTATTTAACATATTTAATTATTGCAGCTTTGAGTCATATTCTGAGTTGCGTTTAACTGTTTTTATTCATTTTGAGGAAAACTAAATATGATTTCTTTTGTGAGTGAGTGAGATGAATTAATGCATGTTCACATTTATTCTATATCTCTCGATTTCTCTCAACATGCGGACAGGAGAGCTTTCAATCAATAAATGGGAAAAAAGTAACTTGCGTTACTTATTTGAAAAAACACCTCGGATATTATCTTGTAAATTAAAAAGTAATGCGTTACTTTACTAGTTACTTGAAAAAAGTAATCTGATTACGTAACTCACGTTACTTGTAATGCGTTACCCCCGACACTGGTTATAAGAAACGATCTGCTCCGCTTCTAATGGATTCAGAAAATCTACATATTTAAAAGAAAAACAGGTTTTGGCAGATATTTGTTGTGGTTTTAAGCATAAACTCAATTCAGTTTCTCAGAAAATTCCTATCTTCATTTGCATCTCCAGTAAAAGTATCTTGATTTAAGGGCGTTTAGATATTTGAACTGGAAAACAAGACAGAAATACTGAGGAAGAGAATCATTTTTTGCATTTAATCTCTAAGACTTTCTGCTCTGATTTAAGACCTTTAAAGGCCTTAATTTGTCAAAGGGTGAATTAAGAATTTTAAAGACCAGCAGAAACCCTGTTGTAATTATTTCTGAGTGAACATCATTTCAAATTAAATCCTATGATTTTTTTCTTCAGTTTTTTCAATTTGTTTTCTGCTACTGCTCTGTTTTTCAGATAAAACACATATCGACACTATCTTTACACTATAAAAAAAGAATTGTCAAAGTTGCAAATAAAACAACTAGCGCTTGAACCAGTGCGTTTCATCAGATGCGGAGCGGACGGTTTTTTGTCAGAGCTCTTGTCCATTACAGCGTCTGATCAGATGAAGACGAAATCTCTCACAAGAGTTAATCATGGAAGCTGCATGTCATGTTTTAAGCCTGTATTGATTGCTAGCAAACACACACACACACACACAGACACTTACACACACACACATACACACATACACACAGTCACTTACACACACAGTCACACACACACACACACACACACACCCACACACACACAGACACTTACACACACACACATACACACATACACACAGTCACTTACACACACAGTCACACACACACACACACACACACACCCACACACACACAGACACTTACACACACACACATACACACATACACACAGTCACTTACACACACAGTCACACACACACACACACACACACACCCACACACACACAGACACTTACACACACACACATACACACATACACACAGTCACTTACACACACAGTCACACACACACACACACACACACACCCACACACACACAGACACTTACACACACACACATACACACATACACACAGTCACTTACACACACAGTCACACACACACACACACACACACACCCACACACACACAGACACTTACACACACACACATACACACATACACACAGTCACTTACACACACAGTCACACACACACACACACACACACACCCACACACACACAGACACTTACACACACACACATACACACATACACACAGTCACTTACACACACAGTCACACACACACACACACACACACACCCACACACACACAGACACTTACACACACACACATACACACATACACACAGTCACTTACACACACAGTCACACACACACACACACACACACACCCACACACACACAGACACTTACACACACACACATACACACATACACACAGTCACTTACACACACAGTCACACACACACACACACACACACACCCACACACACACAGACACTTACACACACACACATACACACATACACACAGTCACTTACACACACAGTCACACACACACACACACACAAACACACAGTCTCTCACACACACACACACACACACTCTCTTTCTCACACACACACACACAGACGCGCGCGTTCAGCTGTGTGACCCAGTTTCGCCTGCAGGAACATACATTGGAGCAGATTCTGATCGTGTAGGTCGCATCAGTTGCTGCTGATCTCCGACACACAGAAACAGAAACGCTCCAGAATCCGTCCACATCGACGCGAACTGATTCAACGCCTCGCGCTCGCCGCAGACCCGAACGCTCATTTACGTGAATGAAAAGAACGCGCTCACCTGAGTGATGATGACGGTGATGATGAAGCACAGCGATGAAACCCAGCGGAGAGCAGAACTCATGTTCGGTCGGGAATCGAATTGATCCCCAGCGTCGCGCATCCGAACAATAGCGAGCGATCGAGCAGCGACGGAGCGCCGAACCGAGCCGAAGACGAACGAGTGGAGCGTCCGCCGTCAGAGCGCGCGCGTGCCGTCCATCCGCCGGTTCCGTGCGCTCGGTGTCGGGTCTGTGGTTCGGATGAATGATGGAGACCCACCGAGGCTCTAATGAAGCGCAGCAGCGGGGTTCTGTCTCTCGGGCCGCGTTCCAAATCCTCCGGTGCGCCCTAACTAGGGTGCAGCGTTAGTGGGCGCAGCGCCCGTGCCACCCTCAAAGCGCGTAGTGCGCTAGTGACGCTCGAGCGCTGTGCACTATCTAGGCAGCTGAGCGGGATTTGAGACACGGCCCTCTGTAGCCCCGCCCTGAATCTCATCACACGAACAAACCTGCTTCACATCATCCTCATATTTATACATCAAGTTACATTCACTATCATAGACTGTGGTCTGCCTATGCATGAAATACGGCATTATTTATGGACATTATTAAATAAAATATTTAACAATATCTATTAATATCTATCCATCTGAGAAGTGAATTAAAATGCAATGAATCCAGGGTATCAAAAAGGCTAAAATAGGAACTATAACTCACCAAAAAAAGAAAGAAAGACAGAAAACCAGGTTAGCTGCCAAGCTAGTTATTTTATTTCATCTATAGTTTCCAAAACACATTTCTCCTTTTTATTCAGTTTATCTTGCACTGAAAAAATCAAGACAGGAATGAAAATTCATTAAAAAATATATACAGACGTATATATATATAAAAAAAATGCGGTAACACTTTACAACACGGTTCCATTAGGTAGCTAACATGAACAAACAATGAACAATTCATTTATTACAGTATTTATTCATCTTTGTTAATTAAAATAGAAGTTCACTGTTAGCTCGTGTTAGTTCACAGTGCATTAACTAATGTTAACAAGCACAACTTTTGATTTTAATCATGCATTAGTAAATGCTGGAATTAACTAAGATTAATAAATGCAGTAGAAGTATTGTTCGTGCTTGGTTCATGTTAACTAATGAACCTTTTTGTGAAGTGTTACCATAAAAACATAACAAAATTACTATAAGTTCAATTAACCATTAATAAAAAACCATAATAGTATCTCAGTGATTTTATTAATATTTTAAACTCATTTGTATTTAATATTTTCTGTTGTTATTTTAATGTTAGTTAAAGTTTAGTCATTTTTGTGTGTTTTTTGTCATTTAATGTCATTTAATAATCTTTATTTTGAGTTATTTTAGTACATCGAGATAAACTAAATGAAAATGAGAAATGTTGCATTGGCAAGTTTTATTTTTTTAATATTATTTTATAGTTTTATATTTAGTTAACTAACCCTGATACTAAAATAGCACTGCTGGTGAGTGTGGTAGACGGCTATCATATATGTGTGTTATTACATGATAACTGAGATAAACTATTACACTCTAAAAAATGCTGGGTTAAATGCAACGCAGTGCTGGGTAGAATAGGGACAAACCCAGCAATTGGGCTGTTTTGACCCAGCGGTTGGGTTAAATGTTTAAATGCTTAACCCAACCTTCTGGGTAGTAACCCAACCGCTGGGTCAAAACAGCCCAATTGCTGGGTTTGTCCCTATTCTACCCAGCTTTTTCTTTTTAGAGTGTATGAGCAACACAAACATCATAAAACCAACAGGCTAAACAAACACTGAAGACTTAAGAACTGAGCCATTAGTCTTCACAAACATAAAAGCGAGGGCCAGTCTGCTGCTGGGTTTGTTTCACAATCTCAAACTCATAATGAACTGCACTTTTTGCATCTTTTATAGTGATTCATAAGCAGACAGACTTCTTACCAGCAACAGAGATGCGCTTCCCAGCCGCTGGCCAATCAGCGTCCAGCTTCCCCTCCTCTTTTTCTCCTCAGATGAGAGCTGCTCTCTGATTGGCCGATGAGCTTCAGCACGGTGATGGAATGTGGACAAAGGGGTTCCCAGTCTATAGCGATCACGTGATCTCTGGAATCAGGCGCTACTCATCAAAGCCGCCGGAAGCTAGACGCTACATATTAAAGTAAACATCTAATACAGATGGCGCGTGTTTTATTGATGTGTTGCATGCACATGTAAAATCTGAGTGTTGCTGTTGGTCTCACGGACGCGTGTCGCCCTCTAGCGGCCTAATGTAAAAACAAATACATACTTTTAAGGGGTATTTCACTCATAAATGATCATTCTGTTATCTCTTACTCACCCTCGTGTTGTTCAAAACTGCAAGACTTAGTTCCCAGATAACGTTTTACATGCATTCTAAATCATAGAGACATCTTCTAAACTTCTAATCTTCTATTTTGTGATGTGCTTAGAATGAATCACGAGTCTAACAGCTCCGCTTTATGCTTATACAGTGCAGATTGTTTCAAGCAGCTTCATAATAATAATAAACAGGAAAATAACAGAATCGATTATGTAAACTCAATTATGGAGACAATTCAGAAAGCAGCTCTAAAAAGACAATAGTGTCACTGTTCAGCTCAAGGAGAACTAGAAGAATAACAAAATGCGCTAAACGGAAAGCTATTTATACAAACCAGCGTGATTATGATTATGATAATGGGTACATTGAAATAATCAGATAGCAGTTCGCAACATCAAGCGGTTTTTGTAATAAATGGAAGCGAATGACATCTCTCAGCACAAGTTAAAAATAAGGTGAATGTTGTGTGTGTGTGTGTGAGTGAGTGAGAGAGTGAGTGTGTGTGTGAGTGGGTGAGTGAGTGTGAGTGAGTGAGAGAGTGAGTGTGTGTGTGAGTGGGTGAGTGAGTGTGAGTGAGTGAGAGAGTGAGTGTGTGTGTGAGTGGGTGAGTGAGTGTGAGTGAGTGAGAGAGTGAGTGTGTGTGTGAGTGGGTGAGTGAGTGTGAGTGAGTGAGAGAGTGAGTGTGTGTGTGAGTGGGTGAGTGAGTGTGAGTGAGTGAGAGAGTGAGTGTGTGTGTGAGTGGGTGAGTGAGTGTGAGTGAGTGAGAGAGTGAGTGTGTGTGTGAGTGGGTGAGTGAGTGTGAGTGAGTGAGAGAGTGAGTGTGTGTGTGAGTGGGTGAGTGAGTGTGAGTGAGTGAGAGAGTGAGTGTGTGTGTGAGTGGGTGAGTGAGTGTGAGTGAGTGAGAGAGTGAGTGTGTGTGTGAGTGGGTGAGTGAGTGTGAGTGAGTGAGAGAGTGAGTGTGTGTGTGAGTGGGTGAGTGAGTGTGAGTGAGTGAGAGAGTGAGTGTGTGTGTGAGTGGGTGAGTGAGTGTGAGTGAGTGAGAGAGTGAGTGTGTGTGTGAGTGGGTGAGTGAGTGTGAGTGAGTGAGAGAGTGAGTGTGTGTGTGAGTGGGTGAGTGAGTGTGAGTGAGTGAGAGAGTGAGTGTGTGTGTGAGTGGGTGAGTGAGTGTGAGTGAGTGAGAGAGTGAGTGTGTGTGTGAGTGGGTGAGTGAGTGTGAGTGAGTGAGAGAGTGAGTGTGTGTGTGAGTGGGTGAGTGAGTGTGAGTGAGTGAGAGAGTGAGTGTGTGTGTGAGTGGGTGAGTGAGTGTGAGTGAGTGAGAGAGTGAGTGTGTGTGTGAGTGGGTGAGTGAGTGTGAGTGAGTGAGAGAGTGAGTGTGTGTGTGAGTGGGTGAGTGAGTGTGAGTGAGTGAGAGAGTGAGTGCGTGCGTGCGGGTGTGTAAGTGTGTGTGTGTCTTGTCCAGCAGGTGGCGCTGTTGAGTCTCTGCTGATCTGCGCTGCTGTGTGATGCGGGTCTGTGGGCGGAACCATGCGTCTTTACACGCACACACACACACACTCTCTCTCTCTCTCTCTCACAGCAGAGCTGCGCTCTCACACTCATCCACATCATATCGGATCTGATCGCACTCGAGTGTTTCTCACGGTAAGTCACACTTTCTCTTCTCACATTACATCAAGTTCAAAAACAATGCAGAAGATCCAGCAGCCTGAAGACCAGACAATATCACCATACATTATTATTATTAATAAAACAATCATGTCACATCCTCCTCCTCCGCAGCAGCAGCACTATGATGATGACGAGGTCTGATTTCTTCATGCTGAGTCTGATTAAGTCTGTTTGTGTAAAGCACTGTCGTTTAATGAGTGAATGTGATGCAGAACGAGCTGATGGTCCTGTTGGAGTCTGAGCTGGTATTGATGTGTCATTGGTAAAGGTCAGTGTTTGGCTTTTACAGATCTGTCCATGAACCTGTGTGATGCTTTACACGCACACACACACACACTCTCTCTCTCTCTCTCACAGCAGAGGTCTGCGCTCTCACACTCATCCACATCATCGGATCTGATCGCACTCGAGTGTTTCTCACGGTAAGTCACACTTTCTCTTCTCTCATTACAGCAAGTTAAAAACAGTGCAGAAGAACCAGCAGCCTGAAGACCAGACAATATCACCACATATTATTATTATTATTATTAAAACAATCGTGTCATATCATCAGCATATGATGGTTCTATCTGATGACGAGCTTCACGAGGTCTGATTTCTTCGTGCTGCTGCGGATGAAGTCTGTGTTTGCACAGCACTGAGATCTAATGGCTGTAGAGTGATGAGGAAGAGCTGATGGGTGAAGTTTGAGCTGGTATTGATGTGTCATTGGTAAAGGTCAGCTTCTGCTCCATGAACCTGTGTGATGTTGTTTCACTAGTGACTCTAGTGCATCACTGAGGAACTATGGTGCTTTTAAAAAGAGACGCAGGTCATGATTGATGCACTGTGAGACTCTCGCGGTCCAGAGCGAGTTAATGTTCTTCTGGAGGCATATGGTGATTTGTGTCTGGATATCAAACTCGCGATCTGCACTTTGTTCATGTCACGTTCTTCCAATTGAGCTAAAGCACTCCGCAGCATCCGACGTTTACTACTGGCTGAGCTCGTCCTTCATCATCATCATCATCATGTCTTCATCCACTCCAGTCTGGGATCTGAACTTCAGAGCGCTTTATCTCCCATCATCTCATCTGCACTGCAAAAAATGATTCCTCCTCTGCATGCTTCTCGTTATATCTAAACATTCCTATTTCAAGACACCTTTACTTGAGAAGCAAGATTAATTTTGTATTCAAATTACGTTTTCGTTTAGAACAAATATCTGCCAACATGATCAGAAAGATAAACCTAATTTAAAGAGAATTTAAATATTTTCTGACCCCATTTGGCAGGATTTTCCGCTTTCAAATTTGAAAAAAACGACACTTAATATCTTTAAAAACAAATATCTGCCAGTGTGGTCAGAAAAATAAGCA